AAGAGCGGCGGCGGCGGCGGCAGGAAGCCGAGCGGGGAGGAGGAGGAGGTCGGGACGCGCGCCGGACGGGTGCGGGAAGCGAGTCCGCGCCCACCCGCCGCCGGGGCGCCGGGAGACCAGCAGCCGGGACCCGAGCCAGCGTGGAGGCGGGGGAGGGCGCCGCCTTGCCACCATGGATTTTAAGGCCAACTTGAAGGGGGTCAAGGCCAAGACGGAGGACGAGCGCAAGGCGGCCAGCGGCGCCGCGGCGCAGATGGACTTCCGCGCCGTGCTGGGGAAGAAGGGCGGCGGTGGCGGCGGCGGTAACAAGGCCGCCGCCGCCCCCGTCCAGGCGCCCGCCAAGAAGAACGCCGTCGATGACAAGAAGACCGGCGGCGGCGGCGGCGGCGAGGCCAAAAACGGGCAGGGCGGCGAGATGGCCAACAACTGCGTGAAGGATGGCGGCGGAAAGACGCCGCCATCCTTCACGGAGAAGCTGAGCGACGCCACCGTTCTGGACGGCCAGCGCCTGCACCTGCAGTGCCGACTGGACGCCGCCTGCGACGGCAGCGCCAGCTGGACGCTCGACGGCAAACTTGTCAAAGCCTCCAAGTTCATCGTTCTCAAAAACCAAGGTCAACACACACACACACACACACACAACGTCCAGAACTTCCAAGTTCCGCTCACGGGCACCCGATGACATCATTTTCCGGAACGAAAGCCTTGACCAAGTGAATCCATTTTGCCCTCAATTGCCACGTGACCAATTGCAATCCTTCCCACGGGAAGATTTTCAAGTCCTCCTTGCAAAAAAAGTTCCAAATAAGAGCCTAAGAGGAACGCGTTTGCGCTTCCTCTCAATCGGCCCAATTCTTGAGCGCTTGAAGCGACCGCAGCCGACAACGGCTCGAGTTGTTTCCCCGAGCAAAAGCCCAAATGCCATTTGCGTGTTTTTCTCCTGACCTCGCGGCCGCGTTTTGTTGCCCGCGGCGACGCACGGCAAGCGTCGAGCCGGTCGCCTTTTCGTCCTTTTCCGGAGAAAAGCCGAAATGGAACGCGGCCGGCGGCTTCTCGTTCGGGATGATCACGTTTTCTTTTCTTCTCTTTTGCTTGTTTGCGTGCGGCGCCGACGCCCCGCCACAGGCGGCGTGTGCTCGCTGAGCATCGACAAGGCGCTGCCCGAGGACGAAGGCGAGTACAAATGCAAAGTGGAAAACTCGGCGGGCTGGGCCGAATGCTCCTGTTTGGTGCTGGTGGACGGTAAGAAATATTCCGGTGCCGGCAAACGATGGCGCGACCGTGCCTCCGCTGACCGGATGAAATGGAATACCGCCAAAGTCCATATTGGAGTCACTTTTTTTCTCTCCTTGGCGCATTTTCCAGCATTTCGGTTCGTGCCACCTATGCCGGACCTGTGAAAACACATCACGCACACAAACATGAGTTGATTTATACAAGTGTGGGTGGCTGTCAACCTCTCGCTCTCTATATACACACACACAGACACACACAAACTCACGCGGGCGTGTAAGTTCAAGAATTCCAAGAGATGCGACGCAGTCCAGCTCATTGCAGTGTGTGCCCCTGGCCACCAGGGGGCAGTTTCATTGGGACATCCAGAGATTTCGATCGGATCACGTGACCCAGAAGACTGCGCAGCCCAATGATGGCGATGCCCCCGAGTTTTGTTTTGGTGTCTGTGCCGCTGCCGTTTGTACTCAAACATCGGTCGCATAAAGGCGACTCCATTGCCGCTCATTTCCTTGGCCTCATTGTGCGCTAGCGCGAAGCCGGCGGACTCGGAAATGACACGACGCGGTTTCCGCGTCGATCCGTTTTGACTCCGAAACGTTCCCTCGGCAAGCGCGCGGCTAAGATACGTTCGCCGCCGCCGTCGAGAGCTCGCGATTCAAAAGTTTGCTCTCAGCTCAAGACGCAGAAAGTCCTGCCGAGCAACAGAAAACGTGGTCGGTCGGCGGCACGGTTGCGGATCAACTCGAACCGGATGTGTTTTGCCTTGAAGTGTTTGAAGGCTTTTTGCGTCAGCAGATCCTCCGGAAAAGTCTGCGGCGGACAAGACTTCCAACAAGAAGATGGCGGCGGCCACCTTGGAGAGTAAGTTGACAAAATCACAATAAGCGTGGCGACGACCACTTGAATGCAAATTGGAGTCGTCATCGGGCTCTTGCGATCAAGAAGGCGAATGATAAATGAACAAGCCCCGCCCCCGCCAAAAAGAACAAGCCGACTGGGAGCGCCGGTTTGCTTGGGTCACGCAAATACGCACAGTAAAGGGCGAGTATGACGATGGATCTCGAGCTCGAATAGAAGGCAAACAGGAAGCAGCGCACCTCAGGATGCCCAAACATGGGCATGGCCATTTTTGGGACAAGTCATCACCAGTGCGCCTGTTTTGTTTTGACAGGCGAAGCTCGAATAAAGAAGCCCACGGCCAAGACGCCTCCCAAGCAAGGTGACGCACCGACGCGCGCGCAAACACGGGGCAGGCGTGCTGACTGAGGCGTGTGTGTGTGTGTGTGTGTGTGTGTGTGTGTGTGTGTGTGTTGGGTCGCGCAGCGCTGCCTCCTCACATCGTTCAGTTCCCAGAGGACATGAAGATCCTGGCGGGGGAGAAGGTGGAGATCCTCTGCAAGTTCTCCGGGGCTGCGCCAATCAGCTGCACGTGGCTCAAGTTCAGGAAACCGGTGAGACGCGCGCCGGCGCCCTCGCCAGCCGGCGGCTTTGAACGCGGGCCGCGCGTGTCCTGTGCGCAGATCCAGGAGGGGGCGGCGGGGACGTCCATCCGCAGCACGGACAGCAGCAGCCTGCTGACCATCGCCAGCGGACAGCAGGAGCACTGCGGATGCTACACCGTCGAGCTGAGGAACCAATATGGCCTCCGGCAGGCCGCTCTCAACCTCACCATTGTGGGTGAGGAATTTTTGTTTTTTTTTTACCCCCGTTAGCATCTTAGCATTAGCATTCACATCTCACAGGGTGATGGTTCGGATTCGCATGCATTACCGTGAAGATTAGCATTGGCGGTTGAGCACCGTCATGTGAGCACTCACAGTAGGCGCGTTCATGGCGAGGTGAGCATGTTCGCATTGGCGTGAACGTTAGCTTGACGCCGGCATGAACATCGGCGTTGGCGTGCTCGCTTCTTCTCCAGTTAGCATGCGCGTGTTGTCAACACCGTGTTCAAATAGGCGAGGTTCAGAGGTGTCAAATTCAGGTCCGGAAAGTCAAAATCGTGCCGTCGTCACGTCACGGGCGCTTCGACACGTTTAGTATCTTGAGGTGTGTGAGGTCTGCCTGAAGATTTGAACAGTCCTCGTGGCTTCACATGGCGCGCCTATCTCCAAATCTTGCCATGTTAGAGCACGTTAGCATTAGCGCATCGCGTGTTCCGAGCACGTGTCTCGGCTTACCGTCGCCACGCTACGCTAAGCTCAGGCGGTCGGCTCGGCGCGGGTCGAGCGATCTTTGTTTGGGGAAACACGAAGGGAGCGCGGACGCCTTTTATGGCGGCGGCGGAGGAGCGACGTTTCCCGCGGGCTCGGCCTTCGGGTGACCTCCGCCCGGGCGCGCGAGCCTTCCTTCTCCCGCACGCGCTTTGGTCCGTCTCGGGAAGGGCACGTCCGTTCTTTTCCAAAACAATCATTTGCCCTCGGCGCGTCGACACTCGTGCCCGGTAAAGCGCCTCAAAGCGGTGAGCCGACTCGGCCGGAGGCGAAGCGGCGCCGCGAGATGGAGCCGGTGTCCAAAATGTCCTCCGTCCTCCAGACAAGCCGGACCCGCCCGCCAAGGTCCCGGCCCTGTCGGACGTGAGGCGTTCCGGCCTGACGCTGTCCTGGTACGGGCCCACCTACGACGGCGGCAGCGCCGTCCAGACGTACCACCTGGAGATGTACAACTCCGTGGACCGCAAGTGGACGCCGCTCGTGTCCTGCAACAGCACATCCTACAACGTCCAAGTACGTCCGCCTGCATCTCTCTGACCGCGCCTTGTCCGCGTTTCCCTCTTTGTCCGTCGTCACCCTTTCTCAGGCCGGGTCTTCGCCCCCCCCCCCGAGTCTTTGTCCCCGTCCGTGTCCCTTTTCCGTGCAGATGACCCGCGCGTTTGTCTTTCCGTGTCCCCGACACGTGACGGTGACGCACTGCGCCGGCCGGGCACTCGGACGAAAATCACGGCGATGACGTTTGTTGGGGCGAGTGGCGGTCGGATCGACGCCGCCCCACTGAAGCCGGATAGCGCCGTGACCAATTGGGTGCAGGGGGTGGCTCGGGGGTGTCGATTGCTCCGGCGCGGTTCCGTGACCCTGATCTTTGAGATGGGCCGGAAATGCCGACCGCATCGACCGCGGGGAGGCCTTCGCTTCGGTCTAAGATCACGGCCTCGTCCGCCAACACGGCCGTGACGGTGTCCCCCGTCTCGTCCGCCGCCAGAACCTTCTTCCGGAGCGCCAATATAAGTTCCGCATCCGCGCGGAGAACATCTACGGCATCAGCGAGCCGAGCGCCGAGTCCGAGGACGTCGCCGTGGGCCTGGCGGACGACAACGGTGAGGACAACGCCGGCGACGCGTGCGGAAGCGGCCTGACCGTGACCGAACCCGGTCGAGTCAAGTAACGGTTGCGTTCTCTGCTTCCGTCGACAGAGAACCAGGAGGAGGCGGAGGAGGAGGAGGATGGTACGGATACTCATACTGGTACTCGGGGGGAGGTTCGGTTGGGCGTTGACCGGTGAAGACAGAAAGGTCATGGTGGGGGGGGGGGGGGCTTCAGACTGAAATCATGACTCGACTTGGTTAAAACTTGGAACTTGCTCACGACTCGCACGTGTGTGACGTCGGGCCGCGGGGTTGTCGGTTTGACCGTCACGTCACGCGAGCGCTCTGACAAGGTGTTCCCCGTGCGGCAGACTCGGAGAAGGAGCCCGACTACAGGCAGGTGACGGTCCGAACCGACATCAAGGTGAAGGAGCTGTACGACGTGGAGGAGAGGCTGGGAACGTAAGCTCCTTTCAGCACGCGCACTAAATGACGTTTGTGCGGGGATGCGGCCGTTGGTCCGTGGGGCGGATCCCTACCCCTAGTTCTCATTTTCTCAGAAAATGCACACAGCTGTCAATGTCCAAAATCTTCTTTGCGTTCATCCGTTTCCTGCGGTGTCGGGTGTCGCAGGGGCAAGTTTGGTCAGGTGTTCAAGCTTGTGGAGAAGGCCACCAAGAAGGTGTGGGCGGGCAAGTTCATCAAGGCGTACTCGGCCAAGGACAAAGACAACGTCCGGCAAGAGATCGGCATCATGAACAGCCTGCACCATCCCAAGCTGGTCCAGTGCGTGGACGCCTTCGAGGGAAAGTCGGACATCGTGGTGGTGCTGGAGATGTAGGCCGCTTTCGGAGTGACTCGGACCCCCGTTGACTCCGGCCGCTCTTCGCGTGACTTGTGACTCAACTTGGACTTGAGACGCGACCGGACGCATTCGATTCTTGCTCACTTCCGATGCGGATAATTTCCAGGCTGAAATGAAGCTCCAGGTTTTGGGAGGTGGGAAGACGGCAGGAGGAAAAGCCACTTGAGCGCAAGGGTCTCGTGGGATTCAAACTGCCGAATGAACTGCGAGGCTTGGTCGGCGATCTCCAGATTTGATTTTGATTCCGAAAAAAAAAAAAAAATGCGGCAAGGTCGCCACCAAGTCAGCGGGCTTTGAGAGCCATCTTGTGGTGTCTCGAGGCATTGCACAAGGAGCCCAAAGCCACCACGAGAACCACCGACAGGTGATTTCTCAGCAGATATGGGAGGTCGTTCTGCCCAAAAGATAAAAAAGGAGAAATGAGAACTGCCAACATGAAAGCGTTACCTTTAGTCTCCTAAAAAAATGGACCTGCTAGCGATTCTGTTAATCAATCCAAGTCGCCGTGAATTTCGTCTTTGGCAAGTGAGGTCAAATCAAGTCCCGCGCTAAGTCACGTCGCTTACCCGCGGTCAAGACGCGAGTCCGGTAAGGCAAATCACATTATCGGCACAAGATAAAAAGACTCTTAAAAGACCGGACCGGACCTCCCGATTGACCGCGAGCGGACTTGGCCAAGACGAAACGGCGACCTGGAGTGACTCGCTTCCTGTGCCGGACAGGATCTCGGGCGGCGAGCTGTTCGAGCGCATCATCGACGAGGACTTTGAGCTGTCGGAGCGCGAGGTGATCAAGTACATGCTGCAGATCGTGGACGGCGTGGGCTTCATCCACGAGCAGGGCATCGTGCACCTGGACCTCAAACCCGAGAACATCATGTGCGTCAACAAGATCGGCAGCAAGATCAAACTCATCGACTTTGGCCTGGCCAGGCGGCTAGGTGACCCGAGCCCGCTCCGAGACTTCAGACGAGCCGACCTCGGAATCGCCTCCTAACCCGCGCGACCGCTCCCGCTCCCGCTCTTTGTCTCCCGCAGAAAATGCCGGCACCCTCAAAGTTTTGTTCGGCACGCCCGAGTTCGTGGCACCCGAAGTCATCAACTACGAAGCCATCGGTTACCCCACTGACATGTGGAGCATCGGCGTCATCTGCTATATTCTGTGAGTATCGCTTCGCGCCGAGAGGATCCGCGCGTCGACAACCGCGGCGGTCGTCCGCCGGAGATCGTCGGTCACGCGTGACCGAGGTCATCCGGCATCAGAAGCGCTCCTATCTCGCTCTCGCGGCGGCTTCGCTAACACGTACCAAAGCGAAGGAATCCGCTAGCGCGGCCCGCGCCCTCGCTTGACCTGCGTTTCTCTCCCCCCCGTCAGGCTGAGCGGGCTGTCGCCCTTCATGGGCGACAACGACAACGAGACGTTGGCCAACGTGACTTCGGCCACGTGGGACTTTGAGGACGAGGCCTTCGACGAGATCTCGGATGACGCCAAGGACTTCATCACCAGCCTGCTCAAGAAGGACATGAAGTCAGCCCGCCCGCTCTCAGTCGCACACTTTGACGGCGCGCTCCGTGTCTCCGGGGCGGGGTTGTCACTCGGGCTGGTTTCTGTTGTCGCTTCGGGTCGGCAGGGCGCGTCTGAGCTGCCCCCGGTGTCTGGAGCACACGTGGCTCAAGCAGGACACCAACACCATGAAGGCCAAGAAGCTGTCCAAGGAGAGGATGAAAAAGTACATCCTGAGGAGGAAGTGGCAGAAAACGGGCCACGCCATCAAAGCCATCGGCAGACTCTCGTCCATGGCCATGATGGCGGGCGTCCACGCCAAGAGGGGCTCGCCCACCGAAGGTACGCTCGCGTTTGAAAAGCAAAACGTGGCGGAAGCCTTTGGCCACGGGGAGGTCGCGCGGTGCCCTCCCGATTCATCGCCGCTTGCGCGAACGCACTGCTGTTCCCCGAGCTGTCGAACGTCGCGTCCGTTTTCGACTGCGGCCGGCTCGGACCCCGCCGCCTTGTCCTTTGTGGTCCGTGCGCGAGCGGCGGCGGGCGTCAAGTCGCTCACAGATTGACGGCCGGTCCAAAGCTCGTTCTGCTTGTCGACGGCGCACGCTTCCTCCCCATTGCCGTTCAACGAGACAAAGCAAAGCTGAGGCGGTCGCCGCCCGTTGCGCGTTTCAGACGACAACCGCTTCCTGGAGTGCTTGGAGCTGGAGCAGAAGGCCGAGTGCAAGCCCAGCTTCAGCGCCGTCATCCGGGACGTGGAGGTGGTGGAGGGCAGCGCCGCGCGCTTCGACTGCAAGATCGAAGGTACCCCGAGAGCCCGCCGCCAAGGCCGCCCGCCGCCGAGGCCGCCCGCCGCGGGCTTAACCGCACCAACCGTCGGCAGGTTACCCGGACCCCGAGGTGGTGTGGTACAAGGACGAGCAGCCCATCAAGGAGACGAGGCACTTCCAGATCGACTACGACGAGGACGGAAACTGCAGCCTGGTCATTTCTGAGGTGCCCGACGCCGTCGCCTTCAACAAAGCGCGCTACCCCTCCGACGACGGGGGGGACGTTTGTCGTTTCCATCACGGTTTCCGTGGCAGAACCGTAAGAGAGTTAAATCGCCGTCTGTGTTTCAACAAGCCGCAGTCGCAAATCATCGGCCGCCAAGTAGCATCGGCACCGCGTGGAAGAGAGCGGGCCAGTCTCACGTAGCATAGGTGACGTAGCATAGCCCAAAGACAGGATGCCGGGGGGGGGCTCAAAAAGAAAACGCTATTTCAGAAGGGAAGCACAATACTGGCAAAAACGGGCACCAAATGAACGGCTGAGCGACTACGGCCGAGGCAGACCTCGAGCAAGAAGTGAAAGCCACGACAGGCGTACGAATGGCCAACTTACATACGAGCCATGTGCCCCCCGCCCCAACAACGAAAAGTACTCAATCTCGTTGGCAGTTGGACAAGAGTTGAAAGGCCGTCAAATAATTATTTGGCCTCGCGCACGTTTGATGTCGGGACTCAAATCTCAGCCTGAAATCCTCAACTTTGGGGGCGTCGAGACATGAGTCGCGTTCCCCAAGAAATCCTGTCAAAGTGTACCCCAACGTTTTGCAGACGCAGTCCGTTGGAAGACTTGAGCCTTTTCTCCCGACTTGGTTTCCGTCGCAGGTGTCGGGCGACGACGACGCCAAGTACACGGTGAAGGCCGTCAACAATCTGGGGGAGGCCACCTGCACCGCCGAGCTGCTGGTGGAGGTCATGGCTGGAGAAGGGGAGGAGGAGGAGGAGGAGGAGTGAGCTTCACAGCTGCCGGACTCTGGTGGGGGCGAGGTGGGGGTGGGGAGGGGGCAGCTTTGACAGGAAGTGGCACACTTGCGCTTCCTGCCCAGAGACCAGGACGAGGGCGCCCGGAAAACCACCACCGAGATGGATCACGTGGAGTCGCGGCCGAGTTAGCGCCAACGGCATCCTGGTGACGGCGATGTCACTGTCATTCGCACTTGTATGAGGTCCTTTGAGCACAAAGTCGGGCGACCCTTCCAGATGACCCGCCCGTCATCGGTGGCGTTAACGCTACCATCAACCGGGATTCAAAATCGAAAGCCATCAAGCGACGGGAGAAATCCGAGCTCAACGCCATCCCCGCGCCGGCCCCAAAACAGGACGTGAGCCCAAACGCACGCCGCGGAGAATCCGCGAACGTCAAGCGGGCGCTCGCTTCCTGGGTTGCTTCGTCACACCCGTCACAAAAGGAGTTTTGCCTTGTCGTGAGTTCCAAGACCTCCACTCGTCCCCGCCGCCTTCCAAACACACACACACACTCTGCACACATTGCTGCACTTTCTTTTGGCGCACTCAACACGTCACGTGTGTGTGTGCGCGCGTGCCCTTGCATCCTTCAAATTTGATTTCACGCCCATGTTTGTCCAAGCATTAGTTGTGTACTTCCAAGGTTTGTCCAAGTCTATAGCGGGTTGAACACGTACGACGACACAATTGTACTTCCTCACATGGAACCAATAAAAGAATCCCCCCCCCCCACCCTCAAAAACAAAAAAAAAAAAACATTGCTTGCATACGCCTCCATTTCGGACCTCAACAGTGGCGGCCGGTCAGGGTCAGCAAGGTCGCCATCGCGAGATCACAAGCACTGACCCGCTTTGGACAACCCCCGCCCCCCCGCCACCGTGTTGACGAGAAGAACACTTTTTATTTCGATAGCGCTAGGAAGGAAAAGAAAAAAAAAAAAAACGCTCACAGGCACTTTGCATGCTAAAAGAAAATGTCAAATAATGAGCAATAAATAAGGAACCAAAATGGTCATTAAAAACGATGCGGGTGCGACGGTGTGGCGATATAAATTAAGAAAGAAAAAAAAGGCTTGTTGCATGAAATTGGATTGATTTCTTCCCACTTGTGTCTTTCTTCCTTGGATTCATTTGGCTGCACCGCTTCCACTCATCTTTCAACCACAATGTTTCCATTTTGTTGTTGTTGTTCTCACTAAAAAAAAAACAAAACAAACTAAAGCAAAACATTTCTCGCCTTTTATTTGACCCTTGCGGGCACTTTTCCGTGGCTCTCAGTCGGGCCGGGAACCTTTGGGATCAGCTTCCCTCGGCGAGACTGGAAACCAAGTTTTTCAGGCCAACGCGTCGAAAGAAAGCAGAATCATTTCAAAGAACGACAAATCAGAATCCAAACAGACGAAGGCTACATGCCCGGTCCGCACAAGGACAAAATGAAAAAGAAAACAACCCGCTTACGTTCTACAGTCGGGGGGGAAGGAGTGAGCCGGCCTGTCGTAATGGAGGGCCGAGCGTCAATGCAGCGCAAAGAAAAAAAAGTGCACCGTGATTCGGCCGCAGCGTCCGCCGCGTACCAACGGCTTCGATGAACGCAGTCTCGCCGTTTCCCAAACCGCCGGTGGCTAATTTTTGTTAGCTTGTGACGAGCTAACATCGCGCCTGGCGTTCCTGGACGCGAGCTAACGATGCTAACATGAGCGGGTGCCGCTTGCGCGCGTCCGGTTGAGGAGGAGCGAGGAGTCGTTCGTCCGAGGTGCTTCGGCAGGCCCCGCCGCAAAAGTTCCCGAAGCCGTTTGGACGACGTCACGGCCGGACGGGGCTCCCCTGGAGAAATCTCCGGGCCGAAGAGGAAGGAACTTTCAAACTCGGACTGCCGCATCCACAGCGGCGCACATTTCGGCCTCATACAAACAGTAGCTGCAAACGTTCTCCTCATACAACGGGAGCAGGCAGCCGGCCAACCGGCCAGCCATCATCGTCCTCATCAGCAGCTGCTGATGATGCTGCGATTGACGCCTTTTCAATCCCTGCCCCGCCGTTGGCAGAAATCCCGCCCGAGGGTCAAGGCAGGAGGAGGGCGGAAACTTCGACGGGGCCCTCAACTGAAGATAACGCGGCGCGGCGGCTCAACGCTTATTCTCGCCCCAAAACGGTTCACGTTTCAAGCAGGAGTGAAGTCAAGTCCAAGGCTTGAGGACGCCGCCGAAAAAGGCGCAGGCGCGGGTTTTGGGCACGCCGGGCGTCTTGAGGCCGCTGATGCGGAAGCGCCGATCCAAACGTGGCGGCAACCGGGGACGGCCTTACCTGTCGGCGTTGCCGTCCGGCCGGCCTTCGTCGGTTCAGTAGGGCGCGAAGAGGGCGGAGCCTTGACTGGCTCTGATCGGTCCGGGCGCAGGGTGGGGTACAGAGCCGGACGAGGAGGCGGGCGGCGGCGAGGTCAAATCAGAAGACGTGCTCACCTCCTGACAGCAAAAACAAGCGCGGAAGGCAACACGCAATGATTCCCTCCTTTTAACAGCAAAAAAAAAAAAGCCACGCCAACTTCTGACGTGAGCGCCTCGTCGTGGTCGTGTGCGGGGCGAGTGTTTGCGTGGGCTCAAAATCGGGGGAGCACAACCTTTTTTTTTCCCTTTCAACTGTCAGCCGTTGCCCGATATCTCGTGTGCGGTCTGCACCTAGCGCGAGAGTGCTAAAGCTATCGAATAAAGTCGACGGGTGCGAGCTTTGATTTCAGATGCTAATGCTCGCCTGTTGCTAAGAGCGGCGGCGTTCGCCTCGAATCGCGTCGGGATCGTTCGAGCTCTCGCCGCCGGTGATCGCGGCGAGTATGTTCGTGACATTCGCCAAGACGGCTTGCGTGATGCTAACGCTAACGTGTGCCGTTTGAGAGGACAGCATCGACACTGACCATGCGTTGACTTTTGTTGAATTTGGGCTTGGTCGGCTTCCCCGCCAGGCGGTCTTTGTGCTTCCTGCTGGCGATGTGCTGCAACGACAACAATCGACAACTCAGACGATGCTAACGTAGCAAGCGGCTAACAGGAGGAGCGTCCCGTCACCTGCTTGAGTTGAATCTCAGAGTTGACCTGGATGTTGCAGGTTCCGCAGCGGAAGGTTTTGTTCTGAGGAGCGCAACTCTTTGAAGGCGCGCCGGCGGGAGGCGACTTGACCTTCGCGCCGGCTCGCGGCAACGCTTTGACGGGACCCGAACCGCTCCGGGCATCCAACATGGTCTTGTGCTTGGTGCCTGCGGGCGAGAAGACGAGGGCGTGGAGGCGCGACGTGCAACGGGTCGGCCGGCGCAATGTCGGCGCGTCCCTCGCCAACCGTCTCGCAGAGCCACTACGAAGCGTTAGCGGCCCACCGCCGACTCCGAAATCTGACGTTTGCGCTTTTGATTGTACCGCGGACTGTCTTCTCAAGAAGACATTTTGAGGGAGGGGCGAGGCCAAGGCGACCGCGAGCGGCGCGGTTTGCGGCGACTTTTGACAACGAACGGCCGTAAGCGGCGGGCGACGGCCGTCTGACCTGAATTGTGGGCCTCCAGCTGCATGAGGGAGTTGACGGAGACTTTGCAGAGCGAGCAGTAGAGCAGCTTCTTGGCCCGCTCGGCATCCCACTCGCCGGCGGGCGGGGCCGCTTGGCCCGCCGCGCTGCTGGAGGAGGCCACTTCTGCGGCGACAAGAGAGGAGTTGAATAAGAGCGGGGGTCTATGACGGGGCTTTGCGGCGCTCCCTCCCGCAACACACCCGAGCCAAACGATCGTCACATTTTGCGGCTAACTCAAAGTTGCCGCTGAAATTTAAAGGAGTGAATATCAGAAAGGAAGGAGTAAAAGTCGTCAACCTGCGCTGCGACCGGCGCTCGTTCCCGTCGAAGGGGCGGGGCCGGCATCGCCGTCTTTGGCGGCCGCGTCGACCGACGCCTCGTTGTGCTCCTCCTTGCTCTGCTGCATCTTCAGCTTTTTGGCGTGACGGCTGCCTCGGTAGTGCGCCTCCGCCTGCGACTGTGAGCGCACGCACGCACGCGCACACACGCGGCGTCAAAAACAACGGCGGGCTTCTCTCGGCAGCGGAAAGCCAGACATCAATCATGACGATGTCATACAGGCGCCAGCCGCTAAAGTCGGCGGCGTTGAATCAGACGCACCAAAACGAAAACATCCACCAAGCATTCGTGCCGCATCTATCCAATGTTTTAGCATTTGGATAGTCTGCTGAAAGTTTGATGGAACAATGGAATCGGATAAAACTAACCATCATGACCCGATGTATGAAAAGTAGGCGCTAGTGTTCGTCTCATTGAGCGAAAACTATCAGGGGACACGAGCGTTGTTAAATGACCCGTAGAAAAAGTGGCCCGTAACGTCAGCATGGTGACGTGACACTTCAGATCACGAGCTGCCAGCGGAGTCCCAATGTGCAGTTTGGACGCACCGCGTTGAAATTTGGGAAAAGATGAGGCGCAGGTGGAGCAGCGGTGTTGTTGTTGACAGGAAAATGCAGGAAAGGTTTCATCATGATCCCGCCTTGTCCTCCGGCGCCGGCGAGCAGGCCTGGTAGGGCGGCGGCCAGCGTGGCGCACATGTTTCCTGACAAATGCAAACAAACCAGAGCCCTTGATTAGTTCTTCAACGTCTTCCAACTTTAAACATCTTTTTTTTGTTCTCTTGTTGCAAAGTAGTTTTGAACAGTGGGGTTTTTTTTTTATTGGTTCGACTTCAATATTTCATTTCAAGTAACTGTTTTGAAAAGTTTTTTAATTTCTTGGGACTATTTTTTGGAAGTCCCCGAATGATCACGGTGGACAGCTCCTTGGAATCCATTTGGCTCTTGCCAGGTTACCCACAATCCCTTTCGGCCACCTAGGAAGTTAGGTTTAAGTGAGCGATACTCGCGCTGGAAACGAAGCAAGAGTCGAATTCCTTTGAAGCAGGCCTTTCTTTTTGGAGAACGCTCAAAACAAAAGTTCTTTTTCATCAGGCTGCCGCTTTGCGTAGAGGCGCGATCAAGACGTTTGACGTCGGTCGTCCGCCGATGTGGGATTCTCCAAAGTACGTACGCCGTCGGCCGAAGCGACCGCGGCGACCTCGAGTCGCTCGCTACGGCTGGCGCCGCGGCGTTCGTGGCTCAAAGCCTTTCCCCCCCGTCATTTGCCCCGCACCCAAACGCCCGCTTCTTACCTTCGTGCGCCGGGCAACAGCAAATGGCCTCCGTCTTGTTTTGATTCCACGGCGCTCGCTGGACGCCGGGCTCCGCGGGAAAGCGCTGGAAGCCGGCGTCGCTGTTGTAGCGGTTCGCTCCGGGGCCGAGCGGCGCGGCGTAATGGTCGTTGTAATGCTCGCCGGCACCTTGGTTGTAGTTCTCGTTGGGGTGCGCGCTGTAATTGGCGTTGTATTGCTCGTTGTAATGTTGGCCGTAATGCTGGTTGGCGCTACTCATCGTTCTGGGGAACTTGAACTTGTCTCTCCCGTTGTAGCTCCTCATTTCTCTGCCGTCGTCGAAACTGCTCCAGCGTTTGCGTCCGTCCATTTTCCCGCTGTTGCGTGCAGAACGGGAAGTGAACACAGAGGTCTCTCGGCGAGCACGCTCGCGTTCGGAAGTACGTCACCGACAACGTCCTTCCTTCCTTGAAGAAAAAAAAAATGCAAAGCACCGAAAAAGAAAGGGAGAAAAAAAAATGTCCCACCTCGCAGCAGAGCCACGGGGATAGACATCATCTGAGGGGACTAACAATGCCACATAATCGCGATAGGGAGAAGTGAAGCCGGAGGAAACGGCCCGGCGGCCATCTTACGTTGCCACTTGTTCAATGCTCGTCAATGAATTCCTAGCTTTTCGAGCTGCGTTTTCAGTTTATTTCTATCTTCGCGGTAAATATGCCACAGTGTGTGGCGTACGATTGTACCAATAAGTCAGGGAGAGGCTCTGCGGGCACATTTCGTCGCTTAGAATGCAACCATAAATGCTTCGTTGGAAGTTAAAGTTTCACCTGTCTGCACGGTCTGTAGTTT